ATAAGTCCGTCAACAGTTGGGCACAAATAAGTCCGTCAACAGTTGGGCACAAATAAGTCCGTCAACAGTTGGGCACAAATAAGTCCGTCAACAGTTGGCCACAAATAAGTCTGTCAACAGTTGGCCACAAATAAGTCCGTCAACAGTTGGCCACAAATAAGTCCGTCAACAGTTGGCCACAAATAAGTCCGTCAACAGTTGCCCACAAATAAGTCCGTCAACAGCTATAAATATATAGCACAAGACGGCGTGTTTCACAGTCATATTGCCATTTATTACCGACAAGTAAAGAGCTATACAAACATATATGATACAAGTGTACAAGATCGGGTAATTTACAAACGGGTGGCCCCGCGCTCGCACGCAGCCAGCCACAGCCTGCGGGGAGGGGAGGGGGTGGTGGCGGATATATGTACATAGGGAGGAAGACCCCCCCCCCCCCGCCGCAGGCCCCGCCCACGCGATAACGCGCAGACGATCGATACGACTTGACGAGCGCGGGAATTTTTGATTTACTGACGCTGAATCGCACGCACACGACACGCCACACATCCATTATTCACACGACACGGATCTGCACTAGGTGCGGTGCGGTGCGGTGCGGTGCGGTGACAACTACGACGACGACGGTGACGACGGTGACGACGGTGACAACGATAAATGTGAACGACGACGACGACGACGATGACACCGTGGTAAAATGTAGATGACGACTCTTAAATAACACAGAACACAAGTACGGCTCGCTCACGCCCCTGCCCCGCCCCGCCCTACCCCCACCTGTGCCCGCACCCATCCTGCCCCACCCCGGGGGCGCGTACGAACGCTGTACATTGACGGAGGCGCATCGCACGTTACACGTGGCGCCCTCGCGTGGACGGCGAGCGCGAGGAACGACGCGTCGCGCGCCCCCTGACGCGCAAAAATCTTTTTACAAAATTATACAGGGTTTTCTCTCTATCTCTCTCTCGTCTCTTTGATATATCGTGTGTTGACGTGGCAGATTTGCTAAGTGGCAGAAGCAGAGCCGTCGTGTCAGCAGTGCTTTCTGGATATGCCTTTAGATGGCAGTCGGTACGCAAGGACACGTGCTGGCAGCGCTGTCGGTGTGTACCCAACTGTAACTCACTCACGCACGCAAACACCGACTCATGCAGACACATGCACGCACGCACTCACACACACACACACACACACACACACACACACA